GGGCTATGATCCGTAAAAGGTCCAAAAAACATAATGAATAAGATCATAATTTCTCTGAAAATGAGAAATTTTGGCTTTTCATTTTCTTACAAAAATTAAGGTCAGTGGCTTAAAATAAAAAGTAAACATGTGGGCTAGGCGAGCGCTCTACTACTGAGCCACAACCCAAGCCCACATGTGTGAGGCCCTGGGTTCTATCCTCAGCACCACATAAAGACAAATAAATAAAGGTATTTTGTCCGTCTACAACTAAAAAATATTAAAAAAAAAAAAGTAAACATGTAGACCAACATAAATATCTGTGACTGAGTTAGCTGTTTATCCATAACATGCATAATTTTAATAACTACAGTGAACTGAGATCACTATAGGTGAATAAAATGACATCAGCAAAGTAAGCTCTTAAAATTTTCATAATTATAATTTCCTGCTCAATCTTCTTCAACCACTACCAGCAAAAACTATTCTCCTGATTCCCAAATATCTAGAATAGGAATCCCTTCTCTTTAGAAAATAAACTGCTCAGGAGGTACCTAGAAAGAAAAGCATACAAAGGAAATTTTCATATGGTCTTCAACAGATCCTTAAGGAATAACACACTTTCAATAACCTTCACAATGTTTCAAATGATAAAACAGTTTCCTAAGTGGAAAAATAATGTACAAAGCTAATGCTGGGTCAATCTCAAAAGTCATTTAACTGAAGATAATGACTAAAACCACCTGAGTCCAATACACTGATAAACCACAAAGCAAAAAAATCAAAAGCAGCTCTTCTTTATTAATGTCAACTCTCAAAATAATGCTGGTCAAAGTAAAAAGCAACAGATATTCAATAATAAAGCTATAAGCAAAAGCCTAAGTTGTGGTATTATCATTTGCTAAAAGGGAACTAAATAACCAAAAAGCATCTTTATTTTTTATTAAATAATTCTGACCATATGACTTATGACAATGTACACATAACTTATACACTAAGAAAAACTGTCAAACCACTAATCAGTGACTGATTCTACAGGGTTTCTTTAGCAACCTGTTCACCTAAATATATTGACGGTTTGAGCCTGTATTCAATATCCCACAATAACGATTATTCTTCAGTTGTGTTCGGAAAAATATCAGTAATAGGACTTTCTATTTTTTTTGTTGTTGTTGTTCATATTTCCCATAAGCAATTAAGGAGAATTCTAGCATTGAAATAAATAAAGTTACTCTGAATATAAAAGTACTTTGTGAAATATTAGTCTACCTACCTTTGGGCCTCAGAGCTGAATCTGATTAATATTTTTGCAAATACTTTACATTAAGCTCACATGACTGGTAACTCTCTGGATGAAAAGCTTAGAAGACAGCTAAGGATACAACAACCAAGAGAGCTAAATGAATGTAGGTAAACACTGTCAACTAACAAATCTACAGAATTCAGTCCAATTTCAGTAACAAAACAATTGCTTTTAAGTTACAAGAGTGTAAATCTATCCAAACCAGAATACAACAATCACTTTATATTGCTTGAGAAGCTTCATAATCAGTTTAATAAATTTAGGAACATAATATTTATTCTTATAAAATATAATTTATTTTTAAATAAACTATAGACTAATCCCTCAATTAATTTTGCTATGTAATGTAACATTTAAATTTTGATTAAACTACATGACAGTTCTCTAGTGTTACTAAATCCAAGTTATTCCAGACAATAAACAATCATTTGTGGCAATTCAACATATTTATAAATCTTACAGGATAAAAAAGGAAAAATTACCAAAAAAGGAAGTTGAATTTATAGTCACAAAAAGAAAAAACTGAGTAAATTTCATATGTACAATAACGGTACATTATTTACTAAACATTCTAAAAATAAAATTTAAAAAGAATAACAACAAAATCCAACAACACAGACTAGCTTCTTACACAAACATAAAGGAATAAAGCGGTCTACATATTGCTCTCTGTACTTTCACACAATCACATTATACATTATTAATAATGACAGTAACAACAGCAATAGATATTAATGCTGTTAAATGTCCAAAGCATTCACAACATTTTCCTTAATTATATCATCACTAGACAGCAGATACCTTCTGAGAAGGTTAAGAGCAGAAAAAGTTGCCAAAGACTGAAAAAACAAAACTGAAAGAATTTTGTTGTTGTTGCTATGTTTTTTGTGGGATTTTTTTTGTGTGTGTTTTTTAGACAGGATCTCTATATGTTGCCCAGGCTAGTCTCAAATTCCTGGGTTCAAGCAATATTCCTGCCACATTCTCATGTACCATCATACCCACATAGTCTGAAATGATTTCTTTTTTTTTTTTTTTAAATATTTATTTTTTAGTTCTCGGCAGACACAACATCTTTGTTGGTATGTGGTGCTGAGGATCGAACCCGGGCCGCACGCATGCCAGGTGAGCGCGCTACTGCTTGAGCCACATCCCCAGCCCTGAAATGATTTCAATATTCAAAGACAAAGCATAATTCTGGTAGTATACCTAATAATGCAGTATAACAGTTGATATAAAGAAAATTATATAAAAATAAAGTTATAAATTATAATCACTGCTTTCATCTTATTTTTAAATAGGAATATAAGTAAATTAAGATCATGATGTTATTACATTGCAAGGACAAAAAAGCCAGAATGCACTCTTCATCTGCCAGAAGCATATCCTTCTAACAAAAAGATAATGAGGCCTTTATGATATTCACCTCTGACAGATGCTTGTATATAAAATCATAGTAAAAATTATTCAGTTTCTTAATTATGACAAAAATTAATGTATTTCCCAAATCTTTTCTCTTTAAAACAAAGTTATATAAATCTGGAAAAGCATTTCTGGTCATCAAGTAAGAATATTCAATTACAAATCTTCAAAGCTTTAAGGTTCTTGGGCAGTTGCTCAAAATCTTTTCATACACTCCTGAGATTTCCACTAAAATGAAATTAGAAGGCAAATTTCAAGGATTTCTTCATTATCTTGGTTTCTTTAATTTGAAAAACTTTTTAAATATTTTTAATACAATCTCCTTCCCACTTGAAAGTTTAATATTTTATCTGACAAAATATATACAATTGATATGCAAGATTTTAAACTTAAAAATTTTTTAAAAATCTTGAAACCTACATGTACTAGTATTTTTCTACATGGACATAAGTTCCAGAGATTTTCTAGTGAATTAGTGCAAGTGCTGGCTACTTTTGAGATAATAAAAAAGGTCATTTTGACTTGCCACTAAAATACATCACTCCAAATTCAACTTTGAAAAGATACACAAAGATTCTAAAAAGTCATTAATTCCTATTTATCGTATTTTACAAAACAGTACATTATATCCAACTCAGGAGACAAGGATAGCTAATCCACTGAGATATGAACTAGTTCCAGAATTCTAGAACAAAGGCAATATTAGCACAACTATCAACATACTTTCAGAAGTATAATTCAGCCTGGAGACAAGGAGATAAGACTAATTTTTAAGGCTCTTTTGTCCAAATTGAAAAAAAAAATGAAAGATATATACAATGATTCAGAAAGCAGTGCTAAATATTTCCTTTATCTGTACACAAACCTCAAAGATAATCCCAACTGATCAACTATGACAAGAGGAACCTCATGGGCCAATGCAATCAACAAGTCAATATGGCTTTTGTATTGTTTCTCCTCTACAATATCTGCAAAAATCTCACCTGTGAAACTCATCATTAGTAAAGTTAGGCTTTCTATAAATCTTTTGAGCATACAATTGTTCAAAGGCATCTGATTATGAGGAATTCTCTATTACTTTACCACACCTGCTTTAGGTTGTAAACCATATGGAGTATATTATACTCATACAACCTAATCTTCAATAACTTCAAAAAGCTATTCTAAATTTTTAATGCAGCCTGCCATGCACATGTTTTAAACCAAAGTATTCTTAGTAATTCTTGTTTCTCCACTAGCTCAAGGCAGCAAATATTAGTTTTTGTCAATTATTTCTAAGCTGAATCCCAGGGGGTTTTCTGTACAAGAGAAAGGCCTGCAAGTATCATTTACTATGATACTCTGTTCATTTGGTACAGCAAAGATCCTTTACAATTAAGTAGGTGCTTTCCTGTCCTGTGAGAGCTATACATAGAACTTATTTTCAAATATGCAGTAGTTCCTTAAAAATCTGGGTCACTGGGGCTGAATATGTAGTTCAGTGGTAGACGCTTGCCTCACCAGTGTCTGGGATTGATTCCCAGCAGCACACACATTTTAAAACAAAATGGATCATTCAAGATATCTCAGATCTTTTTTTTTTCCTTCACATAGAATATTTTTTGAATTTAATAATACTGACTCAGAAAGTAAGCACCAAAGAAACACTTCTTGAAAACACTGATTAGTTTTCAGATGATAAAAGACAAAAAATATAAACAAACACTGGTGTTCACAAGTTCCAGACTATTTAAGCAATATCAGTACTCATTTTCCTCACTAATTCCAATAACTGAGGTTTAAACTGGAAGAAAAATTATAATTGCTTAGAATACATGTAAATACACATTTAAATTTTTAGTGTATTCAGCCAACCATGGTAGTGCATGCATAAAATCTCAGCTACTTGAGAGACCAAGGTAGGAGGATCACAAGTTAGATGCTAGCCTGGGTAACTTAACAAGACTTGTCCCAGAACAAGTTTTTCAAAAAAACAGGTAGAGATGTAACTCAGTGGCAGAGTGCTCATCTAGCATGCACAAGGTCCTGAGTTTAAGTTCTAATACCATGAAAAAAACGTTAATTTAGCTATTAAGATTTATGAATCAGATATAAAATTAGAGTACAAATTACAAATATTTTGAAGAATTAAGAGCATTATTTTCTTCTATTCCCTTTGTCTTACATAAAATTTAATTCCCAGAAGCCCACAGGATTTACAAAATAATATTTTATTATAAAGCTTCATGTTCCAAAATACACAATGAAGTTTTCAAAACAAGCACAAGCAACATCAAGCCTTCATGGGTGTACTTACTGTTTTGTGTCCATTCTGGCAGGCCACATGCAGTGCTGTCTGCCCCATTGCATCCTCAACATCGACATCACTGACATGTTGCACGAGGTCATGGAGCAGTTCTGTCCGCCCATTCACAGCCAGCCAGTGTATCTGTGAAGTCATTTAATTACTTAATATTTGTGCAAGAATATTTCATAAGAAAACAAAAAATAATGCTATTATTTCTCAAATGAATATGATATACAAATTAAAGATATTTTAAACCCATATACTTTTTCCCTTTTTTTTTTTTAACATGAGAAAGACACATGGCATCAAAATACAGATTACTCCATCAGGTATTATAAAATCAAGTACTTGAAGACTAAAATAGTATGGTTCCTAGGCTGAGGATCACCAAATACTTTGCAAGAAGATTTAGACGATGATGTTGAAGAAGTCTCCCATAAAGCACAAAGAAAAAAAAAAAAAAAAAAGAACAAAAGAGAAAACATAATAAAATTGATGACCTAGTCCAAGTGGTCTAAAATTCAAACATAAGAGTTAGGAAAAGAGAGAACAGGGGAGTGGGAATCATCCAAGTCATAATGTATGAAAATTTCCATGAGCTCCCATTATATAAGTTTCTAGGTTGTTGGAAATCAGTGTTATCCAGTCAAATGACTAAAATAAATCCAACCAAAACATATAATCATGAAATTTTAGAATGCTGAAGCACAGAGTAAATTCTGTAAGTTTCTAAAGACAAAAAAAAAAAAACAGGTTTCACATAAAGGCTCAAGAATCAAAATGGCACCAAACTTCAAGAATGAAAACTAAAAGACAACAAAGCAATGCTTTCAAAATACAAAGGGAAAATGATATCTAGCCTAGAATTTTATTGTCAGCCAAATTATCGATTATATAATTGTGCAAATGCAAAGAATCAAGTCATATTCAAACATGCAAAGTGGCAACAAATTTATCTCCCATGCACCCTTTCTCAGGAAACTACCATTTGACGTGCTCCAGCAAAGTGAAAGAGAGAGACATAAGACTCAGATAACACAACTCAAAGCAAAAGAGAAAAAATAAATAAACTAGAACTAATTAAGTGAGCTCAGCAAGGTTGTACAATACAAGATTCACACATACACACACACAAAAAAAAAGCCCTGCACTTTATATACACTAACACTAAACATGCAAAAACACAATTAAATGCAATACTATTTACACAACTGCTCCAAAGAAAATGAGATTCTTGGCTAAATGCTTAATAAAACATGCACCAAATCCCTATGTTGAACAGTACAGAATGCTAATGAAGAAATCAAAGATATATATGAATGGAAGGATACACTGTGTTTATGGATTGGAAGACTCAATCAACATAAGATATCAATTATCCCCAAATTGATCTTTCAGTTTAATATAACTCCAATCAAAATCCCAGAAAGGTATTTTTGTAGACACAGACAAATTTGCCCTAAAATTTATATGGAAATAAAAAAGAACCAGAATAGCTAACACAAACCTCACAAAGAAAAATTAAAGTGGGAGGAATTACTCTTGTGATATTAAGTCTTGCTACAGAGTTGCAATAATCAAGATAGTATAGTACCAGGGTTGCGGATATAGCTCAGTTTGGTACAGTGCTTACCTTGCACACACAAGGCCCTGGGTTCGATCCCCAGCACCTTCCCCCCCACCAAAAAAAAAAGAAGATAGTGTAGTACCCACAGAGGGGTAAACACATAAATCAATGGAATGAATGAAAAGCACAGAAAAGGCCCAAGTAAATATGCCCAACTGATTTTTAAGAAAGATGCAAAAACAATTCCATGCAGAAGGGACAGCCTTTTCAACAAACAGTGCTAAAGAAACATAGACAAGGACTGAGATTGTAGCTCAGTGGTAGAGTGCTCGCCTAGTAAGTAAGCATGAGGCACTAGGTTCAATCCTCAACACCATATAAAAATATTGTGTCCACCTAAACCTAAAAAACAAATATTTTTTAAAAAAAGAAACATAGATTAAAAAAAGCATTCATGGGATTTTTATTATTTCTGTAGTCCCCTATGTGTTTATAATTTCACAAATAATATCTTAAAAGTTTTTAAATGAAATAAATGAATATCTATATGCCAATGAAAAAAAGAACTTCTAAGCCCATATCTTATACAAATATTAACTCAAAAGAAATCACAGACATAGATGCAAAATGTAAAACTAACACTTTTAGAAAAAAAGGGATAAAATCTTCAGGATGTTGAGCTAAACAAACAGCTCTTAGCCTTTATACCAAAATCATGATCTATAAATGGAAAATTTGATAAAGTCTACTTCATCAAAATCAAAAACTTTTGCTTTTCAAAAGACCCTGATAAAATTCAAAAAAAAAAAAAAAAAAGATCCTCATGAGAGTTTGAAAAGCAAACTACAGACTGGGAGAAAATATCTAAAAATCATATACCTGAGATAAAGCCCTTTTCTCTTGGATATATAAAGACTTCCTACAACAGTTTTTTTAAAAATCCAATTAGAAAATGGATAAATGACATGAATTGGCATTTCGTTCCATATAAGAGGATATACAAATGGCAAATAAGCCTATGAAAAGATGTTCAGTATCACTGACAATTAGGCAAATGCTTACTAAAAGCACAATGAGATCATTACACATCCATCATAATACTCCGCAAAAAAAACATTCAAGCTTCCTGGCTACACATCTGTAATCCCAGTGATTTGGAAGGCTTGAGCCAGGAGGATCACAAATTCAAGGCCAGCCTCAACAACTTAGTGAGACCCTATCTCAAAATAAAATAAAAAGGGGAGGGGGTGTGACTCAGCAATAGAGTGTCCCTACGTTCAATCCCCAGTACAAAAGGTGGGGAAAAATGGCAGCAACTGCTTGCAGCAAATTCTGGCAACAAATTAAAAAACTGTATCACTCAGATATTATTGGCAGGAATATGTAATAGCAGAATGTGCATTATATATTCTATACAAAAAAATATCAAAATTAGCACTCAGAAATATTTAGACACTAAGATATGAAATTTTTAAATCCATTAAAATAGCTGAGAAGAATTGCCAGATAGGTAGACTTTAGGGGGGCAAGTTTGGGAAAGCCAAAAGACTTGTTTCCTTCACCAACCCTTGTCGAATCATTTGACTCTACATTTGTGCATGAATAATTTTATTCAATAAAAATTTTAAAATTATTTTCTACTCCATCTTCCTTGAATTTCAGGAATTAAGCAAAGAAATTAGCAGATAAAAACATATGTGATTCAACAGATTAAATTAACAACAGACACCTTATATTGCCTAAACTGGGTATTATCCTAAAGATCTACATCATTTCAAAGAGTTCACACCTCTATGGCACCTACCAAATCACTAATTCTGTAGATACACAGAACACAATCTTTCCTTACAGAGTAGATGATATTATATTGCTAATATATAACAAAACCTGTGGAGCCCATAATCATGATTAAGCTTATTATTTAATAAGCCACTCAAAAAAATTCAAATTTTAAGGAAGGTCCTCTCCTGAAAGGACCTTGCCCTCTCAACTGAGGGTATCTTTTCTTTCTCCTCTAATAAACTTTACCATATTTTAAAATACATATATAAAATATACATAGATTTATATTCTGTATATAATTTTAAATTTTATATATACCTATAAGCATATACAAAAAATACTGTTTTTCTTATATCTCTCCCCCAAAAATATTTAATCAAAAAGGCCTTGAAAACTGGCTTGGTAAGTAAATAGTCAATATTCTTCTTTATTTACAAATTAAAAGGTAAAAATCAGGCTGGGCATTGCCTAGCATGTGTGAGGAACTGGGTTCAATCCTCAGCACCACATTAAATAAGTAAATAAGTTATAAAATTCTGATAAAGAAATAGATTTTTTTAAAAAAAGATAAAAATCTACAAGTATCATCAAAGGAAGGTGAAATTCAATTTAACAAATAATACTTAATATCTTCTGCCATGACTTCAAAATTATTGTTCAATAATTCTATTTTATCTCTACTTTCAAAACGAATAAGGCTCTATTAAATGATGATGATGATTGGTTTAAAATTCTGAGATTTCAACAATCCTATTAGTAATAGCTCATACCACCTGCCCTACAATATTTACATGGCTCAAAACTAGATTAACCTGCCAGGCATAGGGGTGCATGCCTGTATTCTTAGCAACTTGAGAGTCTGAAGCAGGAGGACCACAAGTTTAAGGCCAGCCTGGGAAACTTGAGACTTGCCTCAAAATAAAAAATAAAAAGGGGTAGGGACGTAGCTCAGTGGTAAAGTGACCTTGGGTTCAATCCTCGGTACCAAAAAAAATATGGCAAAATGGATAAAAATACTAGTTTAAGATATAACACATCTAAAACAATATAGGCCAAATATTAACTGTGATTACCTCTGAACCCAGGGATTATAAGGAGTGCTAATTCTCGTTTTTACTTTATTCCTTTCTCTCTAGCCACACCATTTTCCTAAAATGAAATATTAACAGTACTCAAATGGACATAATGAAAACAGCTCTCCTACAATGAACTGATAACATATCTTAGCAGAGATGCTCCTAAGAAGTCCCTTGAAAGTCAGTGACCAAAGTTAGGCAAATAAGACTTCAAAATAAATGATAGTCATAATCTAATAAAGAGAAGGGAGAAATACAGTGAACTACAACTTAACTGAAAACTATATCTCAAATCATTCTACACCTTCTTAAATACTATAAAGAACTCACAGAAACACTCATACTACATTGTTCATTGCCATCACGTATTCAAGATTGTATTCAAAAAATTATTTTAAAAAATCTCAGATAAAATAGCACTTACTGCTGTAAGGCCTTCATTATTACAAATGTTGACATCAGCACTGTATTCTAATAATTTACTCATACATTTCTTCTGCCTAAAAAGAAAGACAGTCACAGATAATTGATACTAGAAAAAATATAACAAACTACAATTATTTTACTGAAATATTAGTTACAATCAACATTAGTTGATATATATATCTGTATTTTCAACTATAACTGCAGTATTTAAATGAACACTATTTGAAATAAAATATAAAATTGTTTCTATGATTCAAAGATAACATGATAAAGAAATAGCCATTAGGTTTTCATGTCATTGGAACAAACTTATCATTCAAACTACAGAAATTTCTAATGTTGACTAAATGGAATAGTAATTGCCATAAGAAATATAAGCATAGCAAAATGTTTCAATGCTGTACTCCACATTCTTGATTATTTTACTGAGTTATAAAAACACAATCAGAAAACCTGTAAAATGTATGTTCATGCATTCCTCTCTACCCACTTCATTTTTTCATTCATTTTTTTATGATAAAATACACATAAAATTTATCATTTTAAACATTTAAGAGTAAAGTTTTGTGGTATTTTACATAGTACAAAGTCAAAGTTCATCCATGTTGTAGCTTATGTCAAAATTTCCTTCCTTTTTGAGGCAGAATAATATTTCATTATGTGTATATGCCATATTTTGCTTAGCCATTCATCAGTTGATGGACACTTGTTTCCACATTTTAACTATTATAAATAATGCTTACGTACACAGGTATGTGAAATATTTCTTCAATACACTGCTTTCAATTCTTTTCAATATATACCCAGAAGTAAACTGCTAGATCACATAATAATTGTATTTTTAATATTGTGAGGAACTGCCATATTTTGTTTTCATGTTTGTTTCTGCAGTGCTAGGAATTGAACCCAAGACCTCATGCATGTAAGACAAGCAGTCTATCACTGAACAACATACACCTGCCCCAAAGAACTATCATATTGTTTTCCACAGCAGCTCTTCCATTTTACATTCTTACCAACTAAGGGTTCCAATTTCTTCACATACTGGCCAATATTTGTTATTTTCTGGGGTGGGTTTTTTTTTATAGTAGTCATTCTAATGATTATGAATTGGTATCTCACTGCAGTTTTATTTTGCATTTTCCTCATTAGTGATGCTGAACATCTTTTCATGTGCTTATTGGCCATTTGCATATCTTTAGAGACATGTCTCTTCAAGCATTTTGCCCATTTTTGTACAGTCCACTCACGGCATTTTGTTCACAAAGTTTCTTCTTAGCCTATCCATTCCTAGTTACTATTCAATATACATCTTAAATTCCCCTTCATTAATAAAGTCTGTATGAATTCCTGTAAACTACATGGAACCTCATATTCCTCTGGAAGCATATTACTTACTGGTATCACTCATTTGGCAATCAATACACACACACACACACACACTCACACATACACACACAGGGGCTTAACTATGCTCAGCACTGAACTGATTGAGGAAATATAATCTGTTGCATGAAGTTATGACCTAAATGAATAAATAGAAATATATATAAAACAGTGTATATAGTATTAATATATGTATTAATAATATACTATACATAGTATGTAGTGGTATATGCAGAGTAAATGGCAGATATGTATATATTACTATTTAGTCAACTAGTTCATAAACTTCTGCCATGTTTTATATCATATTTCCTTAATCAACTCATAATCAAGCATAACCAGACCAATAGTGGCTCTCAAAATTTCACTACTCAATCATTAAAATTATTAATGATCACATAAATCTTTTAAAAGAAAAAAAGGACTAGCAAATTACTTTTTTTTTTTGCCAATCACTTTTCTTGTTTTGAGTTTTACACTTAAAACAAAGTTAAATGTCATTTAAAAGTCAGATTATAAACTAGGCTAAGACTAAGGCAGGAGAATCCCAAGTTCAAAGCCAGTCTCAGCAAATTAGCAAGGCCCTCAGCAACTTAGTTTGTCTCAAAATTAAATATAAAAAGAGCTGGAAATGTGGCTCAGGAGTTAAGTGCCTCTGGGTTCAATCCTGGTGCCAAAAATAAATAAATAAATCACATTATGATCAAAGAAATGGAAGAAAATAAAGCTCAGAATAAACTCTTAAGTTTGAATATTTACAAACTTTCCTCATCTCACACATCATTATGAAGATCTTAGAAAATAAATTCTCACTAAGCACGGTAGGGCACACCTATAATCCCAGCTACTCCAAAGGTGAAAGTAAGAGGATCTCAAGTTAGAGGCCAGCCTGGGCAACCAAAGAGGACCCTATTTCAAAGTTCTTTTTGCTTTTTTTGTTTGTTTGTTTATTTGTTTTTTTAAAGAGAGTTGAGGATGTTAAAAAAGAAAATTCTCAGCTTCTATGGAAGCTTAATGGGGCTTCTTTTAGAAAGGAAGGCAATCCAACACAACACTAATAGTAAAAAGAAAAATACTAAAGCAGGCCAACAGAAATATATTATCCATCTAACAATGACAGCAAAGGAAGCAAAAGAAAAACTAATGGACCAGCAAAAGTAGTAGAATTCTCCTGTGACTTCTACTTCAGTATGGACAAATTTGAATTCATAATGAAGTTATAGAAAACAGCTATTTCAGAAAACACCAATAGCTTTAGGAAGTAACAAGGATTCAAATCAGTTAGCAAACATTTACTGAGCATCTCTATATTGTACAAGGCATCAATTCAATTTTTAAAAAGCTAAAATATTTAAATATTGGATATTAAAAGCACACTTTATTAAAAATAGAAAGGCAACCAAATTAGCAAATGGGTGATGAACTCTTCTAATTCCTCTTCTCTTGCTGACTTGATAAGTGAATCATGTAATACCTGCCAAATTTCTTCATCTTTAAAGTATAATGGTCTTTTCAATTACTATTGACAGAAACAGTGATCAAAGCTATGTACTTAAAAAGCCTGTATACTGGAAAACAATATATAAAACATCCTTTTAGCAGATCAAGAACATCCTGTCTTTCAAGTCTAAAACATACTTCTTGATCCTCACATTGAAACTGTATGAGTAAGTCTACCTACAATTACAGTGGACTTTTTAATCCCTGCCTTGTACCAATGTATCCTTCCATTTATGATGGTTGACAGAACACATATAAACTTTTCAAAGACTATTGTCACTAGCCAGGCACAGTGGCATATACCTGTAATCCCACCAACTTGGGAAGCTAAGTATTGCCAAATTCGAGGTTAGCCTTAGCAACTTAGTGAGGCTCTAAGCAACTTAGAAAAATCCTCTCAAAATAAAATACAAAAAGAGCTAAGGTATAGCACGGTGGTAAAGTGCTCCTGGGTTCAACTGCCAGTATCAAAAGGAAAAACAAAAAAGACTGTTAAGACTGTTGTCACTATCCTATTAACACCTGGGACAACAGATCTGAGATCAATTCAGCTCTATGATCTTGAGTTGACACACTACAATATACCTAAAGATTTTTATAAAAGCAACTGTTTAATCAGCATGTTGTTATCAGTTAAAACAATAGACAATTAAGCTGGTTCATGTGTTAACGCATAAAATGAGACACATCGGACAGTGTGAAAGACTATGTCTTTCCCCTGTCCAACCCAGACATCACTATGGTTCTTTATCTTTTTGGTTCAATTTTTATCTTTATATGCAAAATTTGTGCCTCAGATTGATGCAGTGGGTAATCTTATCCCAGTTTATAACAGGAAACAAAAATATCTCCAAGATTAATCAAGAGACACAACAGGAATGTACTTCCATAAAGAAGTTTTATAGGGCTGGGGATGTGGCTCAAGCGGTAGCGCGCTCGCCTGACATGCGTGCGGCCCGGGTTCGATCCTCAGCACCACATACCAACAAAGATGTTGTGTCCGCCGAGAACTAAACAATAAAAAAAAACATTAAAAATTCTCTCTCTCTCCTCTCTCACTCTCTCTAAAAAAAAAAAAAAGAAGTTTTATAGTACTCAAAAAAGTTCCTCAATGCCTCACTCAAAATCTACTTATTTTCATTTAAATTTAATTCCAATCATTTTGGTATCATTTCTTGGTCCAACAGAATTACAGATGAAAAACAGTGGCAGAGGCAGACACAGAAGTGTGACACAAGAATTCCTCATAGAAAAGAAAAACAAAAACCATAAAAATTAGAGTAGGGTTTAGAATAGCACACAATAACACAATGATGTTTAGATGATGACCAGAATTAAGAATTGGCAGAAAGAGGCAAAAATTTACTCAATACACAAAGTTTTTCACGTTTTGAAAATACTCTTTTTTTTTTTTAAGCACAATCATTTATTGAGGAAACTTTTTTCACAGTTAAAATGAAAAGTTTTTTAACACTGAAAGTACTCTTAACTAGAAAGTTTACATCAATACAGTTATTCTCAAACAATTGTAAACTTGGTACAATGTGCTCACTGTCCTTAATTCTACTACTAAAATTAACTAAACAAGTAATTTGGGAATTAAGCCATGGAGTTATGAGTGGCAAAAGACTGCAGGGAAAAAAGATAACAAAAAACAGTGGTTAAAATTATGCTTTTCAGAAAATGTCATTATAATACAAGTAATGATGAACTACTGCAATATATTTTTAGGAAGAAAAATATTAGTGAATAATAAGTTATTAAATGATATTTTTAAAAGTAACAATGACCCAAGACCCACTTTAAAGAGAAAAAATACTTATATATCCTTAAGAAACAAAAAAATTATAACAAGTAAAATGTATTATTTTTCTAATTTCTCCCTAAGACAATTATGGAGGGGAAGGTCATCAAATCAAGGTAGAGTGAAATACCAATAATAAAGCTTTAGCTACTTTAGGAAACTAAATATTTTACCCATTTCTAGCTGCCAAATGAAGAGGTGTACAGCCTGAAATATCTTGATAGTTAGGATTTGCTCCTTTCTTTAACAGCAAAACCAAGCATTCCACTGATCCACAACTAAAAAATATTAAAAGACAGTTAAAATACATTCAACGAAAGCCACACTTGACAAAGTTTAAATAAAAAACAAAAACTTCTATTAAACATTATTTTAAAACTCTGTATTTATCTACAATTTGATTTAACTTCTGTCACAAATACCCTCTATCTTCAAAATGGTACATTCTATTAGGAAAGCCAAAAAGGATTTGAGATGTTCAAATAAAGCAAAATAAAGAATTCATTTATAAAAGAAGCTATATAGTACTCTCAATTTTTGGATTTCCAGGAATCAACTTAATCATAAACAATTAATTTAAACACATCTACCTATAGCCAGAAAGAAGAACAGGTATCAATAAATTAACTGATTGATTATACAGTAGAAGACTACAGATAAAAAAAAATGGTACTCCCACAAAGATAAAAATATAGATTGCTGTATGTATACACACGGATGTATAACCAATGTGATCCTGCAATCTGTACACATAGAAAAATGAGAATTCATACCCTATTTGAATCAAATGTATGATATGTCAAAATCATTATATTGTCTTGAGCAACTAAAAAAAAAAGATAAAAATATAAAACGAATGACTTCAAATACATTTAGCTTATTCCTTCTATCCCTTTTATTGATGGGATAAAAGAAAAATTGGGTGAATTCACACTCTGTGTATGCCAGAAAAAACAACCCCATACCTAACCTAGAACAAGCTAAGACAATAGGAACTTAAGACTTGAGTTCAATCCCAAAGTTAATCATTTATCTAGAGAGAATACATAGCATACTATTTCCTAAACAGGATAAAGACTGCCTGTACTTATCTCTCCCTGTAAATATTATGAGACAATGGTGAGTCAAACTCATGATACTTAGGTTAGACCAGATTTTAACAAAAAATATCTTTAGTCTTACTTTGCTGCAATGTGAAGCAAGCTTCTTTTCACACGTCCAAATGCATAATTGACATCAAATTTTGAATTTGACAGTAGTTCAGAAACAGACCTATGCTCCCCAAAAATAAAGATTAAAAAAAGAAATCAACATGTAAACAAAAAATTTTAAACATAATAAATCAAGTTAATAGCTCTTTAGGTCTTCTTAATAATTATTCAAGGGCTGGGGGCTGTAGCTCAGTGGTAGAACACTTGCCTAGCATATGTGAGGCACTAGGTTCAATTCTCAGCACCACATATAGATAAATAAAATAAAGATCCATGGACAACTAGGGAAAAAAATAAAAAATTCTTCCTAAAAAAAAACATAATAATAATTATTCAAAAGGTTCTATTTCTTATCAACCAAAAAGTAAAGCACTATTCTAAAGTACAGAATGGTAGCCAGAAAATATTACCCATAATTGAAATGCCCTCACCATAAACTGGTGCTGAAGGTTTCCTAATTCGCCACTTAAGTTGTGCTGTTACATGTTCTGAGGATATCTAACAGAGTAAATTGGCTTCAGCTCTCCCCAGATCCTTGAAAAACAAAGGGAATAGGCATAGCTGGTCCCCTAGCCAAAAGTTGAGTCTACCTATTATTAATTTTAGCCAAGTAAAAAAAAAAAGTCAGACAAAAACACCTTTTAAATATACTAGAGAGAAAATATAAAGCCAAAAAATAACTTATGTTTTAAATTTACTTCAAAAAAATTTTTCTTCACTTTCTTCTCATTGTACACCCAACTATCCACTAGCCAACTAGAGCAGAGCTGACTGCTACAAGAATAAAAATCCCTTCACAAAGCCTGTATTTTAAACATGCCTCTATAAAAAGAGTGTCAATACTACATCAATAAAAAGAACATCAAAGTAGAAGCACAAAAGGAAAGTAAGCTACCCTCAGATGTAATCTTTCCTATAAAGATCAGTAGTAATCCTTAAAAGAAACCACTGCAATGTTTTTTTCTATTTCAATAACCAATTAAATACTGAACATAAAATCTAATTATTCATTTAGAAAATCTCCTACCATAAAATTTTACAGCTTAGATATAGTTCTTGGGAAATTTTGTTCCTTATTTCACAACAGAAAATTATAATAGAGATGTTAAAACTGGCCTCAGGACATTTCTATATGCAAACTGTGAATCTGTGTGTGTCTGTGTGTATAATATTCAGAAGAAAGTTTACTTCTAAGGCATAAATTTATGAAAGAGACACTCACCTGTGTTGATCAGCCATAACCATTGGCATTAATGTGTAAACTGCAGTTTCATTATCTGAGTTTCAAACAAAAGAAAAAGACTTAATTAATAGTCTACTTTTTACAAAGGGTGATATTTAAGATTAAAAAGTTTTCTTTTGAGACAAGGTCTCACTGTGTTGCCCAAGCTGGCCTCGAGCTCCTAAACAATCATCCAGCAGTACCCTCCCCATTATCTGGGACTACAGATGTGCACCACCATGCCCACTCTAAGATTAGAGTTTTCTTAACTCTACAAAAAAAATGAGAAAGAGAGGTAGAAGAAGGTAAGAATAGTGCAGAATAGCAAAGGTAGTGAAAAATTTATAACTACTACATAATTTCTCATCTCCTCTACTGTGGTCACAAAAGAGATGCAGCTTTCGGATACAAGGAGCAAATTGAAGAGCTTATATTTTCTGTAGTTTTAATAACCATAATGTATTTCCAAAGTGATATTTTATCATACTTGCATATACACTTTGAGAAATTTTAAATATTTATGGATATTAAAGATACATATACTAAGCTAAACCAGGCACAGTGATGCATACCTGTAATCCTAGCAACTCATGACGCTGAGGCAGGAGAATCAAAAGTTCAAAGACAGCCTCAGCAACTTAGCAAGATCCTGTCTCAAAATAAAAAAATGAAAAGGACTGGGGTTGTAACTTAGTGATTAAGTGCCCTTGGGTTCAGTCCTTGGTACCGCCTCCCAAAAATGCATATACTAAAATAATTTTGCAACCTTAAGCTCTTCAGTTTGCTCCTTATATCCGGAAGCTGCATCTCTTTTGTGACCACACTAAAGGAGATGAGAAATTATGTAGTAGTTGTAAATTTTGTACTACCTTTGCTATTCTGCACTATTCTTACCTTCTTAGGTAAGAACCTTAGACCTGGTACTTCCTTCTTGATAACATAATAGAAGAAATTATTTTCAAAGTTTTAAGAAACAGAATTAAAAACAATTTTACTTATTACATTACACTATTCAAATTTGCAATCCTTTGTAATCCTGTAAATTAACAAACACATGATTCCAAAGAAAAGGTTAAAAATCAACACCTATAATGCCATATTATTCTCATGTACATTTTACCTAATGTTTTGAACTTATTATTACTAATAGTCATGTCTCAAGTCATTTTAGAGGTTTATATTTTTTAAATTATTTACAGAGAGGAAACCTTGAAAATCCCAAATAAAATCAGTGGATTAAAGTTTGAAGAGAAACAAGGTATTTCCATTGTATCAAAGTATCTCCCCAAAATATTAACTAATTACAATGGAAAATGGTAAATTTTTTTTTAAAATATTTTTTAGTTGTTGATGGACCTTTATTTTATTTATTTGTATGTGGTGCTGAGAATCGAACCCAGCGCCTCACACATGCTAGGCAAGCGTGCTACCACTGAGCCACAACCTCAGCCCCAGAAAATGGTAAATTTACAGTAAAGAACCCAGCAAATACTACCTTAGTCAACTGACAAATGATAACATCACTAAAAATAATTCATATCAATACACAGTAGCTCCTGATATGATCAACTGAGGACACATAACTTTTGTAAATACACACACACACCCCAGACCTATAACATTCTTGACCAAAATGTACAACTTCAATCTAATTATGAGAAAACACCTGACAAACCCACGTTATGGGGAATTCCACAGAATGCCTTATCAGTCAGTCCTCTTTAAATCTCCAGGTCACTGGATAAAAGGAAAGGCTAAGGAATTATTCACAGTTTGGGAAAAAAATAAAGAAACACAGGGGCTGGGGTTGTGGTTCAGTGATAGAGCGCTTGCCTCACACTTGTGAGGCACTGGGTTCAATCCTCAGCACCACATAAAAATAAATAAACAAAATGAAGGTATTTAAAAAAAAATGAATAAAGAAACATAACTAAATATGTGGCATCCTGGACTGACCCTAAAATAGAAAAAGGACATGAGTAGGAAAACTTGTGAAATTCTAATGAAGTCTGTAAGGTAGTTAACAGCACTATTATATGAATATTAATTTCTTAGTCATGATAATTGTACTCTGGTTATACAAGATGTTAACATCAGAGAAAACTGAGTGAAGGGTTATGGGAATGTTGTATTATTTATACAAATTTTCTATGAGTCTAAAATTACTGGAAGAAAATTTTTAGAGGAGGAGAGACTGTTATAGAATAAGAGTCTGGGCTGGGGTTGTGACTCAGTGGCAGAGCACTTGCCTAGCACATGTGAGGCGCTAGTTTCGATTCTCAGCACCACATGAAAAATTAAATGAAGATATCATGTCCATCTACAACTAGAAATATTTTTTTAAAAAAGAGTCTTAAGAGATGGATCAACTAAATGTAATGTGTTGACTGAATACTAATTCAAACAAAGCAACTTTAGAGAATTTTGCGGGGAGGGAGGCTACCAGGGATTGAACTTGGGGGCACTAAACCACTGAGCTACATCCCCAGACCTGTTTTGTATTTTATTTAAAGATAGGGTCTCACTAGAGTTCTCAGTGTCTTGCTTTTGCTGAGGCTGGCCTTGAACTCGAAATCCTCCTGCCTCAACTTCCCAAACTGCTGGGATTACAGGTATGCACCACCATAACCAGCTTGAAAACCATTATCTTAAAGGCATTTTTGTTTTCACTAGGCTAGGGATCCAAAGGCACTGTTTTAAAAACTTTATATATATGATCTCTTTTTTCTTCACAATCACTTTATGAAGTACCATTATCCCCATTTTACAAATGAGAAAACTGAAACACAAAGTAACAAGCTGTGTAATGGCAACAAACCACGGATTCTATACTCTGATAATATTATATGCCTTATAGTGTACCCAGAATATGCTATATACAGTAACCAAAAAGTCCATGATATGATACACTCTAATTTGTTTTATCTTCTTCTATTTCTTTCTTTAAAATGCTAACTGCAATCCAATAAAATGTTCTCAATAATTACCAATGAGTCACTACCAGAAGTTGAAAAGATTACACAAAGCCTCCTTTGGTATAACAACATTCTTTCTCTCAATAATACACACCCCAATTAAAAAAAATCTGAGTCTCTAAACAATGACAATTTCCATAATTTAAAAAAAAGTGATAAACAGGTAATACCCTTTTTTGTAAATTTAAATACAAATCAAAATAGTACATAATTGTAAGTGAGCATCATAAGATTTACATTGGTTTTATCTGTAAGGTTTTTATTTAGATAAAATTTAGAAATCAGGCATGGTAGTACATGCCTGTAATCCCAGCAGTTCAGGAGGCTGAGACAATAGAATCCAAGGCTCCAGGCCAGTCTCAGCAATTTAGCAAGACCCTAAGCAACTTAGTGAGACCCCATCTCAAGGACATGGCTCAGCGATTAAGTGCCCCTGCATTCATTCAATTCCTGATACCAAAAATAAATAAAATTTAAAAATTTTAAATTTAGATGTGGCTCTTATATTTTAAGTCTCATTTAACCTTGTAAATATATAGGTCACTACAAGGATAGGTAAGATAAAGAATATATCCACAACTATATTCCTAAAAGGAGACTAAAAAATATTAGACTAAGAAAGAACAGTATAAAATTTGTTGCCAGATGCTTCCTTTTCCACACCTAAGTAAATACCCGGAAACCTAGGTAAGTTTTCAAAGTGATAAGCAAAATTTAACCTCTTGCTTTATAGATATGTTGGCCATTTTTATTAATAGTTTTGATTTACTCAACTATTAAAAGGAAAATCTTAAATAAAAAGGAGCTCAATTTATTATAAATAATTTCTTTTCAAACCATTAATGAGAATAATTTGTTTTAAAGCTGATAATTATCCTAATGATCATTCAAATATGTATGCTAAAATGCACTCAAATTCTTATTAAACAAACTACCTTCACTGTAAATGCAATAATTTAAACTATTTTCTCTACATATGTAAACAATATACACAAATCTTCTAAAGTTCCTTGATAATCCACATCCCTGAAATAATTTCTTTGCCTTCGCCTGTTTTTCTCTCACAAGGCTATTCCTGTATTAGCCCTGCCTAGGATGACTCAACAACCTAGACTCCATTTCTTGGTGGTCATACTCAGGTTTTCACCACCTCAAGGAAAAAACTGTGCCCCCTACCCCCAGTATCCAAGTCAGTAAATCATGCAACAAAGTTGACTATAGAGTAAAAGACAGCTTAAAACTTTACAGTTGTTAAGAATTTAGTCTAATTAGATGCTTACTAACTGCTGAGTTTTAACAAGGCAAAAAAAAATCTCATTATTTCTTAAATGTACACTATTAGCACTTCTGTTCATTCCTCACAATACAAACGTTAATGTGAATTTGTAGAATGTACTATACACTCAGAAAATTGAAAAAATAATCAGAAGTTAGGATCGAAGATAAATTTAAGAAACAAAATGAATAAATTCATCATAAATCAAAGAAAAAAAACAGATAAACAAGATACCAGTTTTTCCTAGCAACATAGGAAAAAGTCTTACTTTTAATTGTAATACTCTTAGTTTCTAACCACTCAGACTGCTAAGGGTAATTTCCAGGTGTAAGTTGAGAACCTGATGCTTAAATGTTGATATAATTAAATCTTATTATTCTTTTTCTAAGAATTAACCATGGGGAAACAGGCAGAGTAAGTCTTAAGTATAAAGTTGCTCCCATAAAATCAGTTATAAAAACAAAAATCATGCATCTTATGAAATCCTGCGAAGTCATTAAGCATATAAGAATATAAAAAAATGTTTATGAGGGGCTGGAGGTGTAGCCCAGTGGTAGAGCACTTTTCTGGCATACCTGAGTTTGATGCTTACTCAGCACCACTCCAAAAAAAAAAAGTTTGAGACGTTTTCTAAATGCACAATAAGACTATATGCAGTACAATTTTATTTTGACGGGTAAAGAAAAGGAACTAACAATGGAAGGAAATAAAGAAATGCTAACATTATTTATTATTGATATGGTGGTAGAAATACTATCAAAGTCTTTCAAATTATATTTATGTAAAAAATATTGGATGCACACTGGGCAATACAAATTCCAATGTCAATGAAACTACACACAAAGTCTTCTCAACTTATACCGATAATCTGACTTGGAAAATAAGTGAGAGCAGCACTTAAAGAACAGATTCAAAGATGGAAGTTAGAATAGAGAGAAAAAGTTGCAGCTGGAAATCTAGTTACTAAAATCCAGGACTTAACTACTTCATACTAACAAAATACCAAAGTGTCTGCCATAAATCTTCCCTACTCTGAATCTTAAGTAGAAACTCAGGAAATTTTTTGCAAGAAAATTATCCCAAAGTCCCCAATCCCACAATTCGTTCAAGATTCCCAAGGGGTGAGGAGGAGGTTATGGCTCGGAGGTAGAACACTCCATGCCTGAGGCATTGGGTTAGATCATCAGCACCACCTAAAGTAAAACAAAAACATTGTGTCCACCTATAACCAAAAATAAATAAATATTTTTAAAAAAGATTCCCCGGCTGGGGTTGCAGCTAAGTTGTAGAGTGCTCGCCTATCATGCACGAGGCACTGGGTTCGATCCTCAGCACCACATAAATGTAAAATAAAGATATTGTGTCCATCTAAAGCTTAAGAATAAATATTTAAAAAAAAAAAAAAGATTCTCAAGTCCTCCTTCCAATAACCTATAACTTTCCCAGCACCAATTCAAAGAAAGTTATTTTAAAAAATGAAACAACATAAACTACAATTAAGTGGGAGGGTATTCACCAGCCCTAACTCCCTCCTAATCTCACTTGCTCACTTGGGCATAAAAAGCCATTCTCTTAGAGGCATCACTGCCACCTCCTTCAGGCACTAAAACATCTGGATTCCTGAGGCTACAAACAAAACAAAACGGAAGCATTTTTCTCTTTTATTATTAGAGTTTTACCTATCCTGAAGGAATGCTGGCACACTGAACTAATAAGAGTTCTGAAATACAGGGACCCTGTCTTCTTCCTCTTTTTTGACGCACCTCAGTTTCCACCTGGCCCACTGAATAAATGAAGCATGAAGGGAGGCATGCCTATTAAAGAAAAATGTATTTGTGTATACACACCAACTTTGAGAATACCTAAGTGATGACTGATGATCTTTTGTCAACAGACAAAACACAGTAGCGCCCAACATCTTAAATTATTAAGAATAAAATTGCTTGCCCCCGCCCCCGCCCTCCAGCAGCATAAAGTAAATAGGATCTTTGGAGCCTCTCCCTATCCCCCAAGCAATACTGTAAAATGGCTCGTAACTAGCGTTCTCTGAATACGGGTCTCCACCATCGGCTGGTATTCCTGCTCAGTCCCCCAAAATCGACAGTCAGGAAAGACCCCTGTTCGGATTGTTCCGGCAGCAGATCCCTAACAGACACGGCCTCTCCCACAAACTCCCACCTGCCGGGGCAGGAGCAACCCGCCAGGGGGGTGCTGGGGGTCCCGGCCCGGGCCCTACCAGCTCAAGAAAGTAAAGTGGGCTTTAGGTTAGTTTTTTCACTACACCTTGACACGGCCCGAGCCCAGACCTCTCTGGTCCCTAGCCCCGCTCACCCTCCGGCAACTCCACGGTGCGAGCACGGCGCAGCGAGCGCGTCAGGCGGTTAAGCTGTTCCATCGCTCTCTCCATCCTCAGCGCGTCCTACGAGATCGCCGCGCTGCGCCGGCGGCCTTCGCGCCAGCGCCCTACATCCCGCCCCAGGCCCGGCCAGTGGGCAGAGAAGTGGAATCCTCCAGGCCAGCACCCGTGACTGCGACAGAGGCTCGGAGCTGTGTCCTGGTTCCAAGACCCTCTGCTTCTATACAGACCACCAGCGCGGGGGACCACCCGCAGCCACCTCAGCTCGCGCTGTTCCTACAGCGGCCGGCGCTCCACAGCGGCCGGGGCTCTTCTTCTGGACTCGCACGGCCTTCTGGGAACTGTAGTTCCGGGCTGGCAGGGCGCGCTCCTGGGGCGGAGCCACGCCGGAGGCTGTGCGCCCCACCCAGCTCCGCCCAGCCCTTCTGCCACTGGGCCAGGGCAGTGAGTGAGGCGAACAGTGCTGTTTGTACCTCCGAATCCCGGAGAGACTTCCCAGGCGTTCCCTCCGGAGTTGTACAGGAGCAGTTACCTTCAATTCTATCACTCCCCTAAAACTTAATGAGTATAAAACACAATTGGGGATTTCACAATTATTCTTAAATCATCACCAATATCCATTCTGGTATTGATACATTCTTTTTTTCCAGATAAGTGAACTCTTTAAATATTATTTGTCAAATTTGAGGAGTAATAAGTTAAACAAATGTGAAAGCAAACTGCGCGTTTTCCTTCTCTGTAAGAAAGTAACAATAGCTTAATACTTTGTGTCTCATACTGAGTGACTTCTGGGGGTAGGGGCAGCCTTGCTAGATCCTTCTAGTTACCACAACACCTAGCACCAAGTTGAAACTTGGGGAATGATTGAAATAAAAACAGCTTGAAAGAAAATTTTGGTACAATGCAGTCTCAATGTGATGACATCCTAATGGTAAATGCAAAAGACTTCAAAAAACCTTGACAACAACAAGTGTGGAAGAAATTAATAGAAAGCAAATCAGTGGGAAAAAATCGTATTTGTCATCTGTGCATAGCAGTTAAACACCAAGCCAGGTTACGACGGAAATTTGAGCACCTGAAACTTGGAAGAATTAATCCCATCAGGGTATTAATAGGAGCCTGGTTAACACAACTGATGATGAAAAGTTAAGGAAGAAATTCTTAAGTTTGTTACCAGTGCTAAGGTGATGCTTGAGTAGGGGAGAAGGAATGGGTTTGACTTTCTCAACTTCTTCTCCCTCAAAAAGGCAAAGGTATCCCTGCAATGGATGGGCAGTAAGCATAAAAAAGAGAGTCTCATCTGCCCATACAAGATATGAAGTGGCAGATTGTGGTTGGTACTGTTTGGGTGTTCCCTGTCAAAGCCATCCTAAATCAGTTCTAGCCTATAACTGCCATCACCTTCACCTAACCTGTTGGTTCAGATAAGACTAAACCAGTCTGGCAACAAGATGGGAGAAGTCAACCCTTCGAAGGTATTTCAAATGCTGTGAGCCAGCGTGGACCATGCCCAGTCTTTGCAGTAGCTCTGGAGATGGGTGTAACCTATTGGGAACTGGACAGCCCACCTTCTGTCTTTTATGGTGAATAACATTCTTTGGAAGGTCTTTGATGTGCCCTATATAAATAAAGCAAGCCCAGGCTCCATTTTGCTTTTTAGTATAGAAGATTCCTCTGTATGATTGGCTTAAACGTCCAACCCCCGGTTTTTGAAATTATTTCTGTATTGTATCCTGTGTTTTTTTTTTTTTCACCATTCTATTTTTCTTAGCTTTTATTCCACAGCCAGCCCATTCCACCGAGGGGAACCACATTTCCACTGCCCAGTGCGAGATGTGGGGGGAAGGTCATATGTGTGAAAGAAAAATAAAGGTGGAAGCCACAGTTTAGGTATACCTAAGTTCAACTGTCTATAACCATGTAACCAAAACTTAAGTCATTCCAATTTCCCAAAATGTTATCTCTAACCATAAACAAAACATAAACTTTATGTCCCTGTCAGCATGATTCAGTGAAATTAAACTAATCAGCTATAGAGAAATCAGCTTAAATAGCTGTTTGATGTTAAAGAAAAAAAATGTTAATAATACCAGTCAATCACAAAAGAAATCAAAGTTCTTCCTCCTTTTTTTTTTTTTTTTGTGGTGCTAGAGATCAAACCCAGAGACTTATGCATACAAAGCAAGTACTCTATCAACTGAGCTATCTCCCCAGCCCTCCTTTAATGCTTTATAAACTGTGCTGTAACTGCAATAAGGTGTCTTACTACAGTTCAAAATCTCCTGGATCACAATCTGTACTCTTTGAATGCCAATAAATTTTTAACTTTTTTCTAACTTGATTTGATTTGATTTTTTACATATGAAAAGATAAAACAAAGCATCTATTTGCTCTAAGAGACTGCCTTTTCCTCAAATTTCAAAGAGGAATTGAAGATAACATATATCTGATAAATATTAACCAAAACATAAGGTGTTTGGATCTGCCTGACTTTGGATCCCAGTATTCCACTGTGTTCAATCTAGGTCAACATTTTCTTTCATCTTCTCTTTCTTTTTTAAAACTGTTGTTTTCTAATTGTACAGATTATAGAGGTCAGGGCTGCTGGGCTCTGCCTTCTTTTTCAGTGTCCTCTCGCACTGGGATCAAGGTTCTCCAGAGAAACAGAACCAATTTGTGTGTGTGTGTGTGTGTGTGTGTGTGTGTGTGTGTGTGTGTATTTAAGAGATTTATTATAAGGAACTGACCCATGATTACTAAAGCTGGCAAACCCAATGTCTATGGTGTGTGGGCCAGCATGTTTGAGACCCAGGAAACTCATTGGAATAATTCCAACCCAAAAACTGCTAACCAGGGACAGCCAATGCTGCAGATGAAGTTAAAGGCAGTTAGCTGGAGAATTCCTTCTTGCTCTAAGAAGCTGGTCTTTTAGTACTATTCAGACCTTCAGTTGATAAGTCAAAGCCCACCCACATTATGGAGGACAATCTGCTTCACCCACAGTTCACAAATTTAAATGTTAACTTCATCCAAAATTATCATCCAACTTGATACATAAAATTAACCATCATAAACAATATTAAAATGAATAAAATTAAAGCAAAAATAAAATAGTTTTTAGAGTGCAGGAGAATCAAAAGGCAGTTTATCATTGTCCTCAGCCTACACCTAAAAACATAGACTAAAAATAAAACTACACTTGGCAGAACTACAAGAATAAATTTACCACCACAGCCATAAATTTTTAACACCCTTCACTATGAAACTGATAGAACTAACAGAAAAAGAAAAAAGATAGGTATGAATATAGAACATTCAAAATATTTAATGACAGGCCTCATTAAAGGGCATATATGAACATTCACTTCACCTAACAAAGAGGAAATACAGATTCTTTTAAATTATAAATGTTAGATTTACAAAAATACAAAGGTGCTGGGCAAGGTGGTACATGCCTATAATCCCACTCTGTGGAGGGGCCTTTTCTCAGGGTTAAAGGCCACTTGGGCAGGGCCCGTGGGGCTTACCATATTCTTGTCTGTCTTCTTGAATTCTGCAGTTGTAATTCTGTGCAATCCAAAGGTGACTGTCTTGGACTAGAGGTGTTTTGTTCATCTGGACAGCTAGCTATGCAGGACAGTGGGCAGCACTGCTTTTGACTTTTCTGAAGAACAGCGGTTTGGTAAGAAATAGGAGTCAAACTTCACAAAGTCCTTCTCTGTTCTCATTGGCCACCGTCCTGATGCTTCCTAGATCTTGGATCTGCGTGACTTTGGATCCCAGTATTCCACTGTGTTCAATCTAGGTCAATATTTCTTTCATCTTCTCTTTCTTTTTAAAAACTGTTGTTTTCTAATTGTACAGATTGTGGAGGTCAGGGCTGCTGGGCTCTGACTTCTTTTTCAGTGTCCTCCTGCACTGGGGTAGGGTGACCTGGCCATACTCTCCCTCTTCGAGGCTCAAGGAAGGTCAGGCCAGTGTGGTCTAGTCACTGCTGTTGACCAGGACAGCTCCAAGCTTATGCTTTCTTTTCAGGACTTGAGCTCATCTGTTGGGGAACCTCTGGCAGCTGATCTCTGAAGATGACGCCTACCAGGGTCACTCTGAGACTTGTCTTCCAGAGGAAACTCTATGGATCCCAGATCTCTCCCTGTGCCTTCAGCCTCTTTCTTCTTAGCCTCTTCCTCCTGTTGTGTGTGGGGACAAAAGGAGGAGATGCTCTGAGCTACTCTCCTCCCCTGTGCTGGACTTTACCCTTGCTCTGGGTAAAGTTGCAAGCACCTGTAGGGCCTGCCTCTGAGAAGTTGGAGGTCCCTGTCCCTGCTCTATGCTGAAGGTGTGGCCACTTCCCTGGTGCCCCAAGTCTCAGGCTGGGGGTGGTTCTTCTTCTTTTTTTCCTTTTTCTCTTCTGAATGCTGCCTTCATTGACCTCTTTCTCAGAAAGAAAGACAGTTTTCTGTCTCTTTCTCCAAGTCAGCTTTCTTCAAAAGCTTGTGTCCCTGCCCCCCCACCACCACCACCTTCCTTGACTGAGGGCTTGATCATCTTCATCAGTAGAAATGTCCTCAGGAAAACTGAGTTGAGAAGTCACCTTTAGTGAGGACTTGGAACTTTTTGATTAGTTTGCAGAGATGCTTCTGGTTGAAAGGAGGGATGCTTTTCTTGTTGGTTATTTCAAGGAGTTGGTTGGCAACAGCCTTTTAGTCAAACTGGAGTAGTAACCCTGTGTCCTTGAAGATTCCACAATCTGTCCTTTCTCTTTCTTCATTGATTCTGTCTCTCTGGGAGTGGTATTTTCCCAGTGCTGTCTTCTTTCAGCTGATTGCTGCTGCCTCATTTTCAGAAGTCTCTTCTTCAGAGGTCACCACTACACACTGTCATTTTCTGTTCCTCCATTGTCCTTTCAGGTACAAAAGAAAACTAATCTACAATGACTTCTAAAACACCTCAAGGTATTGTCTGTATCAGTGTATGGTCCTTGGTCTTGGCAGCAATTTTGCAGAACGGATCAATAAACTTGAGGTTCTAAGCCAAAAGCTCTTTCCTTCCCACTTTGGGAAGTTCATCCAGGTAAATATTAATAAAGTGGAATCTCACTCCAGGAGAATGACTCTCAGGACGCAGGACCTACTTCATCAGAACATACAGAAAAAAATCTTGATTCAGCTTTCTTCCCAGCCATTCCATTTCAGAACTTCAAAACACTGCCTCCAGACCAGATGGATCAACATATATTTGTGCAGGCGCAGCACGTCTATTCTCTTCCGTTCTCTATTCATGGTTTGCCAAAAGGTCTGAATGAACAGGTGCACAAATGCTATGAACAGGGAAGTTTTG